TATACTCTGTTTTTAAACCAGGAGGAGTAAACGCGAAAGTCAGATTTACACTAGGAAAAATCACCAGAAAATATCACTAGATATTTTGGCGGTAAATTTAAATTAATAATTATTATTATTTATTTATTTACTTATTATTGTATTTATTTTCGTTTGTTATCGTCAACACTATACATACAAATTAACATTGAAGTTATGAGTGTATTTATTTCAAAATATAATAAAAAAGGGTTTAAGAACACAAAATATACAATAATGACACGAATCTGTCGAATTATCAATTACCTAACCTTCAAATTCAAAATCAAAATTCAAAATTGCCTGTATGTGAACCTTCCTCGCATTCAACCAATCACGTGCAAGGTCAATCTGGTGACAAATTTAAAATACTCCTCCTGGTTTAAAAACAGAGTATGGATATACATATCAATAGAGTTCCTTGTTATTCCTTGTCGCGTAAAGGTGACCTCGTCGGTAAATGAGATACATTTAAAAAAATTTGTAATGAGGGCTGTCCTTGTAACGTTTCACAAAAATCGACTCTAACTGGTAGATCTGTCTGTAGTGATAAGGATGTAGCTGCTGCTTCTTAAGTATTCTCCAACTACTTGCAGAAGACGTATTTGTTTGTGCCATATTGTTGGATCTTGATCAACCAAATCTAAAATGATATTCTCTTTCTGAATTGTTCTTGTTGTTCTGGGCCTACCAGAATTAATTTTTTTAGTCTCACATTTCCAGTTTCTCGACAACGTCGTTCCAGGGCTCTAAACATTTTTTATTTACTACGTTTCTTCTGGGAAACTTTTCTGCATAAAGCATGACAGCTGCACTACAGTTTCCTAAACACTCACCTAAGGTTAATAACATGTATACAACATTTCTAATTAACGTATTTATCAACAATATGTATTTTTATTCATGGCTAACTCAGAAAAAAACCATTTTGAGGTTTCATTACAATGTTGCCAATAGTAAACAATTAATTAAGCAGTTGTTAAGGGTGGGTGTGAGTGTGCTTAGTTTTGAAATACTTAATGAGCATCACTGTAAGAAGTATAAAGATAGGTATAAAGAAGACAAGAATTAGGAGCGTTTTCAAAACTTCTTCAAGAGCTGAAAGAAGAGGATCCACAAATATACCGAAATGTTTTAAGAATAACTCTCATTTTCAAGAATTGTTGGTATTAATTGAACCTTTGATCAAAATACAAGATACCGTATTTTTTAGACAGGCTATTCCGTGTAAAACTAATCAAGTTTCGTGTCTTACTTTAAAGTAAAATAAAAATTCTCAAAGGGGGCCCTCGCATTTGGAAAGCAAGATTTTACAAATTGATTCTACTGGTATTCTGTCTGTAGTAGCTAGTTCTGCAATATTTTGTAATTTGATTATTGTATTTTCTGTTCGGCGGTTGTTTATGACGTTTCAATAATTTTGCTCGTTGTGGTGGTAACATGGTGGTGGACGAGCGCTTTCTTGATGCAGAAGCAGGTTATGTTGGTTCTACAAGACTTGGTGATTCAGATGTTTTCAATTGTGATTCTTCAGGCATTTGCTCAGCATTACTGTTAGTATAATTTAGTGAGTCTCGCTCACCTTCAGGCGTCGAACGTTTTTAATATACATTAATAATAATAACAATAAACTAATACTGATAATTATTAGTAATTAAAGACAATATTAACAGAACAGACATCGAACATAAACAAAGGACCACGTGCCATGTGGCAAGCAGCGTAGTGTTTTTTAGCGTTTTACCTATTATAGCAGCTGGGTCATCTTTGAACAAATTTGATTTTGAGCAAAACACCAGAACAAATCGTTACAATAAAAATTATTAAAATATAAATTACTTTTGTATATTTTCACATACAAAAAGTTATTTAATTGTATATATTAATGGGGTATCTTCTTCTTTTTGTGTATTTAAGAAATTTTGAATCATTATGGCACTTTTTTTTTGCCTCATATCACTAAAAAAAAATTTTAGTTACAAAAATTCCTCAAGAAAAATACAAAATTTTTTTTACCCCTTATCAAGAGATCCACTTGTTTCTTTAACAAACACATTCGACATAGACGTGAAAGTAATATTAGGTAAAGTAGGTTTCCAGCATTTTACACGATCCGGTTTATTACTACCATCGTCAATGGTCTGTACGAAAACTGAATAATCAGTGTTTGGAGGTGGTGGTCGAAAAATAGGTACATCATTCACAACGTAATTCTCATAATTAAGGGAATAATGTGGTTTAAATCCAAGATTAATAGCGGCTTTTGCATCGTAATATCCAGTAGTATCAAATCGAATTAATTTAATACTTTTTCGATGGGCATAACTTTTAGTTATCTTAATAAGTTTCTTTTGAATTCCTCCATTTTCGACCGTCGGATCCGCAGCTAAAACTTCCATCTTCAAATATCGATCTACGCCGAATTTCTTGAATAAATTACATTTTTCATCAACCGCTTCCACCAAAAAAGCAAGTTTTTGACAACGTGGATCTTTAAATTGGATCTTATTACTATATCTGTCCATAATTCGATTCACACTTAGCGCAATTATTTCATTACGATCGTCCAACATCATTAATGACAATTCAGATTTGATCGCTTCTCCGAGATATTTGTCGTAAACCTCTATACCCGATGGACTTTTATCGAGGTTCAATAAAACGAGGAGAGGGTGTCTTTTGTAAAAATGTTTCTCCAAAAATTTCTTTGCCTTCACGCGATCATTTTTCTGCATTAATCTGATTTCTAAATGTTCTACATTTCGGCAGATATTGCGAATTTGGTTAAATGAGAATGTTCTAATGGCCATGATTATGAAAAATTTTGAACGAAAGTTTGACACGATTTGACATGAAATGGTTCAATTGGTTCCAACCACATTTGATCAATTTTATTTTTTTTTATTATACCGGGAATTTTATATAACTCGCAGTAACCATAGTTACGAAACTACTGTGCACTTGCACAGTCCCATATAAAATGCAACATGGCTTAATAGTACAGGGTGTCCCAATTTCGATGTCCGCATAGGCTATCTCATGTCATGATCACGTTTTTCGAGAAAATGCTAATTCCGAAAACTCCGAACAGCTATCGTCTTTTATTCTCGCCCTATCGGTAAAAACTGAAAATTTTGCAAAAACGACAATCGCGAATATTTCACTTATTATCAAAGATGGTTATTATAAATAAAACATTATATGGGCAACTTTTTACGAAGAATTCAGTGGCGTAGCTAGAATTTTTTTCCCATCTTTTATTTTCGAGATTTTAGACGTAACTTTATTTTTTTAAATGGAAACCATAGTTGGCTATGACTTAAAATAATTTGTTATTTTCTTCTGATAACAAATATATATAGTTTGTGGGGTATATTTCTTATGGTTATTGAATAATTAACAAAAATTCATTTTGTTCTATCTAAAACTAATGTATGTATTTAAAAGTTAATGTTGCTATGGTGATAACCATACATACTATGATGCAACATAATGTATCAA